TTGGCCAAAACCCTAGCAACAACCACAAGAGAATAACTGGGATACAAGGATCACGTCACTGCCCACAATATCTAAAACCTCCCCAAGTAATCACAGCAAGAGTCTACTGTAGATTTGATCTAACCTAAGATGAGAACACTGCTAGATGATTGTGAACAATCTCTCTGCGTTGTCCTTGTCTTCTTCCCTTTCTTTCTCTTCCTTTTCTGCCTTGATCTCCTTCTTCTCTTTGGAATCCCGTGGCCTCAAAGATCTGCCTCGTTGCTGCCTTTTTATAACCTTAATCTACCTCTAAAACGCAGCCACCACATCGAATGATTTTTTATCTTTTTCTTGTCCTAGATTTCATTTCTATTTTTCTTAATTGATTCAATCCGTTGAATTGAGAGGTGACATATAACAACTTATATCTTTCTATACAAAAAATTGGAAACTTGGAACCTGTACTATCCCACCTCCTCAGAAATAAATAAGAAGAATCGAGTTATTTCATTAGAGTTAGAATGAAAGATTCATTCTATTTCGGACCAATCTCCACTCAACGGTAGAGTACTCGGCTTTTAAGTGCGACTATGATCTTTTACACATTTTGATGAAGCAACAAATTCGTCCAGACTATTGGTAGAGTCTATAAGACCACGACTGATCCTCAAGGGTAATGAATGGAAAAAGTAGCATGTCGTAATAAAAAAAATTTCTTATTTTATTAAATATTTTATTAAAAAATTACAAATTCAAATGAAAGTGGAACTTTAAAGATCTACCTAGTTGCTGTCTTTTTATAACCTTAATCTACCTCTAAAACGCAGCCACCACACCCCCCTAATCTTAATTAGGGTTAGGTTAAGAGAGGGTATGGCCTGTGGGCTGATAAAGCCCACATGGGCTGAATATGGGCCATCAGCCCAACATAGACTACTTACTAACAAGTCCGAGCTTTGTTTTATGCACCAATTGGTGCCGAGGTTAGCTGACATATAAGCTCTGTAGAGATTCTGTTCCTCCAGCCAATAAAGCACAAAAAGCAAAAACTTCCAGCGTTACAAACTACAAATTTTAGTCCATTTTGGATTAGTTCGGTGCTCAGCTTTCCACGATCGTTCATGCAAGTATATTCCTTTCTTCGCCCAGCCAAAAGAGCTTCCAAATAGAAAACACACAGTTTTCTATCAATCACCGTGCCTTGTGAATCCAGCCACCACCTCTGTACCCTCCCTATAAGATCTCAATCACAGCTCGCTCGAATGCATTCACCCAGTTCATCGGTAACCATGTCCTCCATGTATTCGTCAACCGGCCTCCCCACGGAAATCCGGTACAACCCTCACCGTCGAACCCGACCAAGTGCGCACCGGATTCGTGAAAGCCTGACGAGCCGGTTCGCTAAGTGCCTCTGCTCCATTCTTCTTACCCTCGTCCTCGTTGCAGGCATCATCGTCTTCATTCTCTGGCTCAGCCTCCGGCCTCATCGACCCCGATTCCATCTCGTCGCGTTCGCTGCCCCCGGTGTCGCCACCCCGGCCGGTCTATCCGGCTCACCCATTTCCTTCAATGTGACGGACCGGAACCCAAACGCGAAAATTGGCATTTATTACGATGCCATGTTCGGTACGGTCTACTACAGGGACCGGCTGGTCGGGTCCGGGCCGGTCATGTTCCCCTTCTTTCAGCCTCCGAAGAACACCACGCTGATAACTGGGCAGCTGAGTGGGGCGGCGATCGAGGCTGGGGGCACGTTATCGTCGCAATTGTCGGCGGACGCGGCGGCCGGCCGCGCCGAGCTGCGGCTCGAGCTCAACTCGACCATCCGGTTCAAGGTGAAGGCATGGGACACCCACCACCATCATTTGCATGTGGAGTGCGACCTGGTCGTGGGCTCGGATGGAAGTATACTGCCGGAGTCCAATAACATCAAGTGCCCCATCTATTTCTAAGATCTGTAGCATTAAACCTTTATCAGGAATCATCTGTTGAGTTTGTGCGTATGCATCCTCTTGCATCTATCTTTTTCTACTATGTTGTAGATTAAGTTCATACAACATGAGATTAGAATTATGTCACTACTAACGGAAGCAGCAAAGTTATCATGAATATAAGGTTACCGAGTTTTATTCTTCAATGGGCCCAACCCAACTCCAATCCGACGCTCCAAACCCCAATCTTGTCGAGGGAATGCGTTTCCTCTGCTCGGCGGAGATGTTTTATTATCACTACAAGCAAAGAAAGAGGATATGCTCTTAGCGTGAAACATCGTTTAACGTCATGTGAAAAAGGTTATACGGAAGAGAGAGAGAGAGAGAGAGAGAGAGAGACTTAAATAGGCAGGGGGATGGTTTTTCTTCGATAGGTTTGCTTGCCCAGAAAGCAAGCAAGGTCTTAAGATGCACTTGTAGCACACAAAGTACGGTGCTTGATTGTCTCCATCAAATCGGACAAGTAATGGCAGTTGGGATCATGCACGCTATTAAATTTCAAATAAGAAGAGAGAAAAAGTTCCAGCTTGATAGAGAATTGTTCCCACTTGGTGGCATGCGATTAGCTGAGATCGATAAGAAGAAAGGTGAGGATCATCTAGATGACTGAGACATCCGACGTGTCATGCTTTGCAGTTATTGATCGGATATAGGCGACAGCTTCTGATGTGTGTAATCGGTGCATATAGAGTTGAAGTCAAATCAAATTATGTATGCTACAGTTTCAAACAGGCCTCATTTTTCCTAAAAGTCAAATCAAATTATGTAATATAAGTCTCGCAAACCAGAACGAAGCCAAGTCAACAGTGGCCGCAACAACATACGGTCCGAAACGGCAACTTCTCCAACCAGACATTAACCAACGCTGACGGTGGATATACAACTAGCAGAAATATATAATATGCACTAATCAGTCTCAACGGTTATATTCATCACTCTTTTCTTCTCAGTCTCTCTCAATCTCTGTCTCCCATCTATCAGTGAATTAGAGACCATACATCAAAGGTCATTTCTTTAACTTAGAACTTTCGAAAGAAAAAATATTATGAAACTCTCCTTTAGTGTGAGTTCCACACGTAGTTTTCTCCACAAGTTTGGAAGCTATGTTCCATTATCCATATTTGAACATTTCATATGATATTTATATTTCTATAAATAACCTCTAAGAGAGTCAAACTTCTCCTTTTTTTTTCTTTTTTTTTACTTGCTCCCAATTACAGTGCTCTCATTTTATTTTCATTAAAATTAATTCATTATATTTTTCCACAAGAGTGTCTTCGATTACATATTATTCGATCTGCAAATTTATTATGTTTAAATTAAAATGATAAATAATAAGAGAGAAGAAAAATGAGTTACTAATTACTAATAACTAAAAAAATATTCATTGCCATAATTCCTATTTTTTTTTCTCTAATCTAAATATGGGAGATTTTACAAAGTGATGGCATATAGGGATAATTTCCAATGGGAAATCCACTCAAACAAAAAAGTTTGATTTATCTCTGACATCCTATCCTGAATTAAAATTTAAAATGTATGAATTATTTTTGACGTAATTATCTTTGATATAATCACTACTTGTAACATTTAATATAAGTTTTGAAAGTTGTGTCATGCTATCTACAATAGTTGTAAAATTTTGGCTTATAAAAAACAAATGGAGTAAATAATTTTATTCTCACTATAAATTAGAAATTACCTTTAGCTTCTCATGTAAAATAATCTGCAAAGTGAGATAAGCTATTGATTATTGAAAATTCATTGAAGATGCTGCTAATAGTTTTAAAAAAACCAAATTATTGATAATTAATCTACAAGATATGAAGCTTGATGAATAGTCAGAAAAATATTTCATAATTAAAATGTAAATATTTTCTAAAATAAGTATTACAATTGAAGGTCATTTTAAAAAATTGGTAATATTAATTCAAGACGTATTAATTTTTTTGAATTGATATCATTTCTTGCCCAACTTGCGAAAATTGATGTGTCCATATTTGATGAGATTACATCAAATTTTTATTATTTTTCAAATTTTAATATAAGGGAGAATGTCAGAAGATAAATTAAATTTTATATTTATGATGTTTTGCTTATAAGAGTTCAGACAGAGTCAATGCCATAATAAATTAAGTTAACAAGCTCTCTTGATATATAGATATGGCGTAAGATTTTGTAGCAGGTGAGAGATTGGGATCGAAAGATTGAAAAAGAGGAAATCGTGAACAAAACTTCTAGATTGACGTGTATCGTAGAATTTTCCACCTTCATATTTGGATCTATATCTATCACATTGCAATTTCTTAACACAAATGATGGTACTACGGCATCGATTACGTAGATTAGTAGGTGGAACTCAGCAGTCAAACGTGAACCTGATTTTGACCGAATCAACGGCCTACGTGTGCCCACTTGTCGATAGAAACCATATAAGCATAACTTAAATCACCACATGAATGTTGGCGGTTACCATTATGTTATGTGTATATATATATATATACATATATACATATATATATATATATATATATATGCATATATATATATATATACATATATATATATGCATATATATATATATGTATATCCTCAACAAAAGGGTAATCATCACTCTCTATCAAAAGTGAGTTAATAATTGTACCAACGATGCTGTTTCATACAACTAATCATTGTAGCAAAGCAAAAGGAGACGACCTTATTGATCTATATAATCTCGTTAATTCACAATGCCGCAGAGCATCATCGCCATGTTCCCCGCTATCGTCTCCTCCTCCTCCCTATTCCCCCTCCTTGGGTTCGTCCTCCTCATCCTCTGCCATTCCTCCCTCACCGGCGCCCAAAATTTGGACCAAATCTGCGACACGTCCGGTAGCTTTGCCGATAACAGCACGTATCAGTCCAACCTCAAACTCTACCTCTCCACCCTCCCCTCTAAAGGTTCAGTTTCCGGCTTCCTGAAGGAGGCAGTGGGAGAAGTCCCTGACAAAGTGTACGGCGTCTCCCTCTGCCGGGGAGATGCCAACGCCAGCGAGTGCCGCGCCTGCCTCGACAAAGCCAGCCTAGACATCCAACAGATATGCCCCTACAACAAGGGCGCCATGATTTACTACGACTACTGCCTCCTCCGCTTCTCCAGCCAGAACTTCCTGAACTCCACCGACAACCAGCAGGTGTCCAAGTACAACTCCAGCAGCGTCACCCAAGTTGCTCGTCTCAGCCAGCTTTTGCATCTGCTGCTGAGCAGCGCCACCGATTGGGCGGCGAATTCCACCAAGAGGTTCGCCACAGGGGAGATGAGCAACTTCACGTCGGAGTTCCCCACCATATATGTGATGGTGGAGTGCACTCCGGACCTGTCACCGAGCGACTGCAGCCAGTGCCTGCAGTCGCTGTTCGACCCACTGCCGACGGATATGGTGGGAAAGCAAGGAGCGAGGGTGCTCGGAGTGAGGTGCGTCATTAGGTATGAGTTGTCCGCCTTCTACCGAATTCCCTCCATGGTGAAGCTTACGGCTCCGTTGGAGGATGCGACACAACTCCCGTCCGACGGAAGCGAAGGTAATTAAAGAACATATCGTGCTATCATATTAGCTGCACATACACACACACACACAAAAAGCTCAATTTTCACCAATTATATGTTCTTTGCATTCGTTGTAGGACAAAATCCATCCTAATTATAAAATTCGGTCTCATCACAATTTGGTTTCAGTAACAGCAAACCGTACTGATTCGAAGACATCGATCTTTCTCGATATTTACCATTGATCCAAGTAAGACAAATTAGATTTCAATCGGATCATCTCATTTGATCACGATTTCTAGTTATTTATGTAGATAAATATTCGATATTATCTTCTTTTAACACGGGGGCAGTGTGCCCATTAGTCCTCCTTCCATGTTCAAATGTGAACACCTCCGTAGCCATCGCTGACTTGAGTATTTTAGTTGACTATATCAAATGAATTTTTTATTGACCTCAAATAAAAACGAGCCGTTTCCTACTCGTTCTTATAAATGGATCTCAGAGGAAATCCGCCGCCACCTTATCTCACATGAGTGCAAAATCATCGTAACCATCGAGACATGGAACTATGAATTCACGGTCATTTTTCGGTGCAGGAAAGAAGAAGAACGCAGCAACGACAGCTTTAGCAATCGCGATACCTGCATTTACAGCTCTACTTATACTCTCCCTTATTTACATTTGCTACTGGAGGACGAGGAAGCGGATAGTACAATCAGCATGTAAGTCACAGAATTGCTTCTAATGTCCTGTTTCATTCACTGCGATCTGCCAGATTGAAACTGTGTGCCCCTTCATAGATGAAACTGGCCCGGAGCTGATCACTGGTGTTGAGTCACTGCTGTTTGATCTATCTACGCTACGACTTGCAACAGCCAACTTCTCTGAAGAGAATAGACTTGGAGAAGGGGGTTTCGGAGCAGTCTACAAGGTTCGACTACACGACCTTCTTTCTTCTGAGTTAACTTCGCAGTCTCCGGTTACACTCGCTTGCTCTGTTCTGCTTCCTAACCATGGTTAGACGCCGCACAGGGACGGCTACCCGATGGACGAGAAATAGCAGTCAAGAAACTGTTGTACGCTGGACGAGGACTCAGAGAGCTGCAAAATGAGCTGCTGTTGGTTGCTAAGCTCCAGCATCGGAATCTCGTACGACTTCTGGGAGTTTGCTTCGAGGACGAGAAGATGATTGTGTATGAATATGTGCCCAATAGAAGCCTGGACAAATTTCTCTTTGGTGATGCGCCTTCAACACTTTTACTTCTCGTTGGAAAAACTAAACCTTTTTAATTAGCTTAGAACTAAAAGGTTCGTCTTAAAATCCTTTTTGATGCAATAGATCCTAAAAGAAGCGAACAACTACGTTGGGGAGCTCGATACAGGATCATTCGTGGAATTGCTCAAGGCCTGCTTTACCTGCACGAGGAATCTCAGCTAAAAATCATACATCGGGACTTAAAAGCCAGTAATATCTTGTTGGATGCGGCTATGAACCCAAAGATCTCAGATTTTGGTATAGCAAAGCTGTTTGA